GGCAGTCGTTGCTGTAAGATTTAAAATAAAAACCCACTGTCTTTGAGTTGGTTCCAACTCATAGCACCTCAGTAGATTAAGGACCTGTAGATTAAAGAGACATAAAAGACATGTGAATCAAATGCTGTTTGTTGGGCTTGTGTGTATTCTGATTCAAACGATTTTTAAGGCAACCAGGGAAATGTGAAAGATGGGCCGATGAATTTATATTAATTTTTAAGTCTTCTTAGAGATGTGTACTACATTATTTCAAGTAAAAGGAAGAGATGCCTGGGGTTTGCTTTAGGGTAGGTAAGAGGTAGGGAGAGTAGACTAAAAAAATAGGTAAAATGTTGATAATTATTGGTAGTTGGTAATAACTACATGGGGATCCAGTATGTTGTTGTTAGGTGCCGTAGAGTTGTCTCTGATTTCATAGCAACCCTGTGCACAGCAGGAAGGAAACACTGCCTGATCCTGTGCCAGCCTCACGGTCCTTGCTATACCTAAGCCCATCATTGCAGCCACTGTGTCAATCCATCTCGTTGAGGGCCTGCCCCTTCTTCGTTGACCCTCCACTTTATGAAGCCTGATACCTTTCTCCAGGGAATGGTTCCTTCTGACAACGTGACCAAAGTAGGTGAGACGAAGTCTGGCCATTCTCGCTTCTAAGGAGCATTCCAGCTGCACTTCTTCCAGGGCAGATCTGTTAGTCCTTTTAGCAGTCCATGGTACTCCTTGCATTCTTCAACACCCCAACTCAAAAGCATCAACTCTTCTTTGGTCTTCCTTATTGTCCAGCTCTCACATGCATAAGAGACAACTGAAAATACCATCGCTTCGGTTAGGCGCACCTTAGTCTTCAAGGAGACATTTTTGTTCCTCATCACTTGAAAGAGGTCTTTTACAGCAGATTTATCCAACACAATATGTCGTCTGATGTCTTGACTGCTGCTTCCATTGGTGTAGATTGTAGAACCAAGTAATACGAAGTCCTTGACAGCTTCAATCTTTTCTCCATTTTTTGTGAAGTTGTTTATTGGACCAGTTGTGAGGTTTTTGTTTTCTTTATATTGAGGTGCATACTGCAGACTGTAGTCTTTAATTTTCATCAGTAAGTGCTTCAAGTCATCCTCACTTTCACAAGCAAAGTTGTGTCATCTGTATATTGCAGGTTGTTTAATGAGTCTTCCTCCAATCTTGATGCCACGTTCTTCTTCATACAAGTCAGGTTCTTGGATTATTTGCTCAGCATACAAGTTGAATAAGTATGGTGAAAGGATACAACCCCAACGCACTCCCTTCTTCATTTTGAATCATGCCATATCCCCTTGTTCTGTTCAAATGACAGCCTCTTGATCTGTGTACGGGTTCCTCATGAGTGCAATTAAGTGTTCTGGAATTCCCATTCTTCTCAATGTTATCCATACTTTGTTATGATCCACACATTAGAATGATTTTGCATAGTCAATAAAACACAGGTAAACATCTTCCTGGTATTCTTTACTTTCTACTAAGATCCATCTGACATCAGCAATGATATCCCTGTTCCATGTCCTTTTCTGAATCCAGATTGCCTTTCTAGAAGTTCTCTGTCAATATATTGCTGCAACCGTTTTTTAATTATCTTCAGTAAGATATTGTTTGATAATGTCCACATTCTGTGGGATCACCTTTCTTTGGAATGGGCACAAATATGGCTCTCTTCCAGTCAGTTGGCCAGGTAGCTGTCTTCCAAATCTTTGGCATAGTCGAAGTGAGTGCCTCCAGTGGGGCATCCGCTTTTGAATCATCTAAATGGGCATTCTGTCAATTCCTGGAGCCTTGTTCTTCACCAATTCTTTCAGGGCAGCTCTCACTTCTTCCTTCAGTACCATTGGTTCTTGATCATATGCCACCTCTTGAAATGGATTGACATCAACCAGTTCTTTTTGATACAGTGACTGTTTTCCTTCCATCTTTTTTTTATGTTTCCTGTGTCATTCAATATTTTGCCAATAGAATCTTTCAATATTGCAACTCAAGGCTTACGTTTTTTCCTCAATTCTTTCAGCTTGAGAAATGCTGAGCATGTTCTTCCCTTTTGGTTTTCTAAGTCCAGGTCTTTGCACATTTCATAATAGTAATTGGTTTTGTCTGCTTGAGCTGCTCTTTGAAATCTTCTGTTCAGCTCTTTTTTCTTATCATTTCTTCCATTTGCTTTAGTTACTCGTCACTCAAAGGCAAGTTTCAGAGTCTCTTCTGACATCTATTTTGGTCTTTTCTTCCTTTCTTGTCTTTTTAAGGACCTCTTGCTTTCTTCATGGATGATGTTTTTGATGTCATCCTACAATTCCTCTGGTTTTTGGTCATTGGTGTTCAGTGCATCAAATCTGTTCTTTAAATGGTCTCTAAATTCAGGAGGGGTATTATCAAGGTCATATTTTGGCTCTCGTGGACTTGTTTTAATTGTTTTCAATTTCAACGTGAATGTGCATATGAGCAGTTGATGGTCTGTTCCACAATCAGCTCCTGGCCTTGTTTTGGCGAAAGATATTGAGCTTCTCCATTGCCTCTTGCCACAGATGTAGTCAGTCTTATTCCTGTGTATTCCATCTGGCAATGTCCACGTGTATAGCTGCCATTTGTGTTGTTGAGAAAAGGTATTTGCAATGAGTAAGCTGTTGGTCTTGCAAAATTCTGTCATACGATCTCCAGTGTTATTTTTATCACCAAGGCTGTATTTTCCAACTGCCGGTAACTCTTCTTTGTTTCCAACTTTTGCATTCCAGTCACCAGTGATAATCAACACATCTTGATTGCATGTTCAGTCAATTTCAGACTGCAGATATTGGTAGAAATCTTCAATTTCCTCATCTTTGACTTTGGTGGTTAGTCCATAGATTTTAATAATAGTAGTATTAACTGGTCTTCCTTGAAGGCATATGGATATGATCCTATCATTGACAGCATTGTGTTCCAGATCTTGAAACATTCTTTCTGATGATGCATGTCTCGCCATTCCTCTTCAATTTGTCATTTCTGGCATAGTAGATCATATGGTTGTCTGATTCAGAATGGCCAAAACCAGTCCATATCAGCTTACTAATACCTAGGATATCAATCTTTATGTGCTCCATTTCATTTTTGAAAACTTACAAAGCTTCATTTTTGACAAACTTCCAATATATCAGAGTCTTTTTATGAGAAAAAGTATTTGTACCCTTGAAAGTTTTATATTTTCTTTTTAATGTGCATTCCTGTTGATCTAGTAATTTCTCTTGAAAGAATGTGTCCTAAAGTAAGCAAGTATTTGGTCAAGGATTTACATAGGGGTATGTTCATCATAATATTAACATACAGGTAGATAAAAAATAGAAAAAAACATTTAACGTTTAAAGATTTATAAATTATACTGTACCCTTTCACCTATTAGATTGTCAGTTTCAAAAACATCAAGACCCACTTGATTGATGAGGGTCTATAAAAGCAGGCACTCCCATTAAATTGCTGGAGGGGCTGAATAGGTACAGATCCCATGGAGGGTAATTTGGCAGTGTTAACAAATTACTAATCCATTTATCATTTATGGGAATGTATTCTGTAGCAATATTCTTACATGTTTGAAATGGTTATATACAAGTTTGCTTATTGTATCAATGATTTGTAATAGTAAAAGATTGAAAACAGTAGAAGACTAAATAAATTGTGGAACACCTCTGCAGAAAATTACTAACTATGTGGAAAAAGGATGAGAAAGCTACATTTTTTTGTGTCCAATATAGTAGCCACTAGCCATATGTAAAGAACTCTGGAGGCATAGTGCCTATGGCATTTTGATTGCTAACCAGAAGGTTGGCAGTTCAAACCCACCAGCCACTCCACAGAAGGAAGACTGGGCAATCAACTACCATAAAGATTTACTGCCTCAGAAATCCAAAGGGGGTTCTTGTGAGTTGGAATTGACTCAGTGGCAGTTGTTTTCTTTCTTTCTTTTTTTTTTTTTTTTTAGGCCATATGTAAAGGAGCTCTGGTGACATATTGAGTAAGGCATTTGATTGCCCGTCAGAAGGTTGGCAGTTCAAGCCCACCAGCTGCTCTGTGGGACAAAGATGACACAGTCTACTTTCATAAAGATTTATGTCCTTGGAAACCCAGTGGAGGTTACTTTGAGTCAAAATTGACTTGATGGCATTGAGTTTGAGTTTTTCGAGCCATATGTAACTAATTAAATTTGAATTAAATTAAAAATTTTAATTGCATTTTTTTGGTGGCACTAACCACATTTAAAAATGCTCAATAGCCACGTGTCTGGTGGCTACTGTATTGGACTGCACAGATACAGGCCATTTCCATCAATAAATTTCCATTATATATTGCTGTTGTATATAGTGAATATAAAAATATATTTTTAAAAACTTCTTTTGTAATGAGTAATAGACACCTGATGACAGAAAATATTACATAGAAGAGAACGCAGATTCTTAGTGGAAATTTAAAATCTGACTTCTGAACATATGGTATCCTTTCATGGATTTTTTCTTGAAATCAATAGCCACCCCATTTTCTCTTGTCATTTTTCCATTATTTTCAAATGTGTCATTATGATGCTTGTGTCACTATGTTGCTAAGTGGATTACATATTTTGGAAAATAAATAATTTGAAGGCAAACAAGCAGCATGAATTCATTCTTTTTTGGCTAGTCTTATTTTTCAGACACAAAGCTTGAACCAAGCATTCTGGACAGCATAATCCTCCTCAGCTCTTTATTGAGTGTGTGTTATAAATGAGCTCTTAATTTGCCAGCCACCATAAAGCACCTATGAGAAATTATAGCTATAACCGCAGCTTTCTGGAGTATTTATTCTGTAATTAGGTATATCCTTTATATGGCTGCAGAATATAGTGAAATGTTTATTTCACAGTCTGGCTTACTTTTTAGTGTTGTCTAGGAAGAAGATAATAGGAACTGTTTGGTGTTTTTTAAAAATGGGGAACTGTACTGAAATTTGAACACTAATAAATAACTGATTTTTTACAGATCTACAGAAAATAAGGAAATTCTCCCTTTGGAAAATGAAATTGTAAAATTAACAGAAAAAGAATCATCTTTGAATTCATCTTACCAACTTCATGACTGCTCTGGTGCTTGTCTGATAAAAATGCCACTAACTTTCAAGGGAGAAAACCCTCTGCAGCTGCCAATCAAATGCCATTTCCAAAGACGACACGCAAAGACAAACTCTCACTCCTCAGCACTCCATGTGAGTTATAAAACCCCTTGTGGAAGGAGTCTTCGAAACGTGGAGGAAGTTTTTCGTTACCTGATTGAGACAGAGTGTAACTTTTTATTTACAGATAACTTTTCTTTCAATACCTATGTTCAGTTGACTCGGAATTTCTCAAAGCAAGAAGAAATTGTTTCTGATGTGGATATTAGCAGTGGAGTGGAATCGGTGCCCATATCTTTCTGTAATGAAATTGACAGTAGAAAGCTTCCACATTTTAAGTACAGAAAGACTATGTGGCCACGAGGATATTATCTAAACAACTTTTCCAACATGTTTACTGATTCATGTGACTGTTCTGAGGGCTGCATAGACATGTGAGTAGAAAATAATACATTTGAATTAATCTTCTGAATATAGGGATACTTGTCATGAAATCCTGCTGTGTTTCAGTTTATCTTTACCTGTCTGTCTATCTAAAACCTATTCACCAAAAGTCTAAAATGAAGAGATGCACTGTTTAAAGAGCAATAGGAAAGAAAACTCTTCACCAAGTATTATAATTTGAAAATTAGTTCTTCTAAGGATAAGTAGTTCTTTTAATCTAGTACCATTATTACAACAATAACAGTTATAGCAAATACTGTTTATTGAATATATACAACTGCCAGGCTGTTCTCAATAGAATAAGTGCTTTACATACATTTTCTTTTAATTCTCACAAAAAACCATGAGGTAGGGGTATTATCTCCATGTTAGAAATGAGGAAATTGAGAGTTAGAGAACTCAACTGTCCAGTCATAGGGCAAATAAATTGTAGTGCTAGGACTTGAATCTGTGCTTTAACTACTGTTATTTGTTGTATTTTACGCTTACAAATAATTGAAAAATTATTTCATAGCTGATTTTCAGTCTTCTGATGAAGATCAAAGACTGTACAGCCTTCAGTATGTATTATATCTCAACATAAAGAAAAACAAAAATCCTTACAACTAGAGCAATAAGCAACATCATGATAAATGGAGAAAAGATTGACATAGTCAAGGATTTCATTTTATTTGGATCCACAATCAACACCCATAGAAGCAGCAGTCAAGAAATCAAAGGATGTAAAGAGCTTTGTAAAGAGCAAGATGTCACTTTGATGGCTAAGGTGCTCCTGACCCAAGCCATTGTCTATTCAGTAGCTTCATGTGCATGTGAGCACTGGACAGTGAATAAGAAAGACTACAGGAAAACTGATGGATTTGAATTGTGGTGTTGGTGAAGAGTATGGAATATACCATGGACTGCCAAAGAACAAACTAACCTGTCTTGGAAGAAATACAGCTGGAATGCTCCTGAGAAGCGAGAATGACCATACTTCACCTCTCATACTTTGGCCATGTTGTCAGAAGGGGCCGTCTTTGGAAAAGGATATCGTGCTTGGTAAAGTAGAGGGTCAGCAAAAAAGAGGAAGCCCCTCAATGAGATGGATTCATAACGCTGGCTGCAACAGTGGGCTCAACAACCACGGCAACGATTGTGAGCATGGTGCAAGACTGGGCACTGTTTCATCCTGTTGTAGATAGGGTTGATATGACTCAAAACTGACCCAGCAGCACCTAACAACAATAATTTTCTAGAACGTTAATAGTGTTTATAATTAATATTTTCTTGATCATAGCATTGAAATTCTGTAGTAAATTAAAACATGTTCTGTATTAAGACTTTGAAAACCTTTTTGCTTTAAGAATGTGATTTCTTCACTGCTGCTTCCATGGGTGTTGATTATGGATCCACCTAAAATGAAATCCTTAACAGCACCAGTCTTTTCTTCATTTATCATGATGGTGCTTACTAGTCCAGTTGTGAGGATTTTTCCTCTCTTTATGTTGAGTTATAATCCATACTGAAGGCTATAGTCTTTGATCCTCATCAGAAGACTGAAAATTAGCAATGAAATAATTTTTAAATTATCTGTAAATGTAATATACATGCATTTGTAGGTATGCACATATGCAGTAGAGTTGCGTTATTTGTCCTTTATTTAATGCAAACTTAGCTACCTGTGTGAAGTGGGCAAAAAAAAAAAAGAAATGATTTAAATAGATAATAGTTTTCACTATGCTCTCAGACTGTGAGATGGAATATAAAAGTCTGCTGTTGCCCTAGTTTGGCCTCTCACATAGGACTCCTGTCACTGTGCTAAGTTTATTTTGCTTAAGTATTTTTTTTTTTTTTTTAGTAAACATTGTCTCTGAATGTTATCCAGTGACTTCATTTGCCCAAACCCAGTCTGTAGTGCTGGAGGGAAATACTAGCTGTTAGACAGATTACACTGTGCTATATGGCAGTTTAAGGAGTTTTTTTAAAGGGTAATTTGCACTACATGTGATTTTTTTGTCTTTAGACTATAGGTACTAACCCTCACATAACGTATACCACCACTATACATATTTTCATCCATGGGTCAGAAATTAGGGAAATTACAAAAGTAAGCAAAGGCTGAAGCCCATTAGAATCTGGAAATGGACATGTGCAGTGTAGCCAGGGATGGGAATTAAACATATCCCCTGTATGGCAGAGTGGTAACTGGGCACTCCAGGGGAATAGAGACTCTGGGAACGAGGCTAATATCTCACAGGACCTAGAAATGTACTATTGCAAACCTGCTTCAGATCAGTGGAACCCGTAAGGTCAGAGCAAAATGGGAGAAACTGCCAAGCATAGAAGAGCATACAGGAATAAATCCCACCAGAATTACACATGAAAATAGCACAAAGGGCTGTGAAGGTAGTGTAAGCCACGACGAATGGGAACATGCACACCTGAGAAATCAGAAATGAAGAATCTAACTGAAAGGAACTTTAAAATAGGTATTTAAAATGTCCAAAGAGATAAAATACTAGACTGTGAAACTAGAAAGGGGTTATAAAAGAGAAATGGTATATGTATTTATTTTTTTAAATATTAGAAATAAAACCTATAGTCATTGAAATTAAAAACAAAAAACTAATAGATGGACTAAACAGTAGCCTTGGTGTAGCTGCAAAAAGAATCAGTGAATTGCAAAGCCCAGCTAGTGAGATCTGGAATGCAAAAAGATAACGGGGAAATAAGTGATAGGTTAAGAAATAAGGAGGATAAAATGAAAATCTCCAGTATACAACTGAGAAGAAAAGAGAGCGTTCAAGGGAAAACTTGATTGATACTACATAATGGAGGTAAAAAAGAATATGTCTGGAATACAGGAGATTGTTTAGTAGTACCATGCCCTGTGATTAAAATCAGTGGAAAACTACAGCAACCCAATTCTGATACAACTATGGTTTGGGTCACCCCAGCAGGCAAAGAGCTACCGTAATGGCAAGGACAATAACATGCCCATAAAATAAAACTCACGAAGCAAATTTTATATTTGTGCATCCATTCCTTCCCTCCCTTCCTTCATCCCTTTTTTCCTCATTCAGTAACTATTTATGGAGCACCCATTATGTAGTTGGTGCTGTGTTGGCTTCAGGGACACAATGGGGTATAGAATGTCTTTGTTCTTGTGGAGCTTATACACCAGAACAAAACAATTATTCATTGATTCAACATTTATTTATTGGGTAGCTACTATGTACCAGAGGAGCTCTGGTGGTGTAGTGCCTAAGGCATTTGACTGCTAGCCAGAAGGCTGGCAGTTCAAACCCATCAGCTACTCCTCAGAAGTAAGACTGGGCAATCTACTTCCGTAGAGATGCCGCCTCAGAAACCCAAGGAGGGGTTGCTATGAGTCAGATTTGACTCAACGGCAGTGAGTTTGGTCTGGTGGAAGCAGATCGCACCCCGAAGGCAACTCCCTTTCAACTGATAAGGTACTCACAGCAGATTCCACTATTGAGGTGATTATAGTCTCATCATGGGGAATAACTATATCCAGCTGCCCAGCCACTCAAAACCACAGCCCAGTCAAGTTGACACACAACCTTAACTACCATAGGAAGGCTGCGGCATTCAAAGAGAGAATGGCAGAGAATGTTCCAGAATTAAAAAAGGACATAAGTACTTAGATTGGAAAAGCTTACTGTGTACTAAGAAGGGGAACTAACAAATGTACATTTAAATATAATATTATGCAACTTAAAAAATACATAGGATAAACCTCAAAAGCTATTAGCTAGAAAAGACTGAACTACAAAAGAAAAACAAACTGACATTTTTTATATTAGAAATAACAGGAGACAATAAAGAGATATATTAGCTTAAAGTGCTGAAAGAAAATACATTTGAAACTAGAATTTTGATCCCAACCAGACTGTCATTTAAAGGAGTTTGGGTAGGGAGGAATGGGGGACAAACTGTTAACACAACATACCTACTTCTCCGTTAACCGTACTTTTGTGTATATCTAGAGCAGATTAGTTTCCAAGTTCCAGGTTTAGTGGGATGTAAAGTCAATTTAATGGATTATAACGAGCATTTTTTAAGTACTAAAATATCCAAGTGCGTGACACATTGTCAGGGTAAAGTTTCACATTGTTTCAGTTATATATGCATACACATATAAGTATGTGTACGTGTACAAGATCGTGAAGGAAATGTATTTCTTACTGTGGGTCATAGTCAAAAAACTTGAAAGCTATTTATTACTCTAGAGATGCACACATCTGCATAGAATAAGGATTTGTGTTGCAGCATTGTTATATTGGAAAACTGGAAGCAACTTAATTGCCTATCAAGTAACAACTGAAGACTTGTAGATGAGTTAAAAGGAGTTAATCAGATTTGTATATAATATCACTAATAGATCTCAAAAAGATTAAAGTGAACAAAAAGCAAGTTACAGAATAATACATATAGTAAATTTTTAAAAACATGGAAAATAATAATGTATTGCTTGTGGATACAGATGTATGTAAAAGTATTAAAAAAGGCCACCCCAGACCTCCGGAGAGTTTTATCTGTTATGTTTTATTAGACTCTGTGTGGTATTTAAGTTTTAAATTCTACGTATAGGAAAAAAGAAAGACTAGACAAGTGCTGATAGCTAAAGCTGGGTGGGGAACAAATGGGTATTTATTATATTTGTACTTTCCTATACTTTTTAAACTTTGCAAACAATTATATATGGAACAAAGTGCTATGAATGTTTACATCTATAAACACAGTCCAAATTATGAGTTTATTGATTGTTTTTTCTGTTATAAACAGCAGCTACCACTCTATGACGTATACTATGTATATACAGAAAAAATACAAAAGAAAACCATGGAAGAAAAAGATTTTAAGTCCCTTGTTCAACAAAGGAGACTACGATCCAGAGGTGTGAACTAGCTCACCAGTACGTAGTCACATACTGAGTTCATAGCTGAGATACCCAGAGTCCTTCCTCTCTGTCAGGTTATCAGTCTTTGTCAAGATGAATAATCATCTAAATACGTAGGTGTAAAAATACAGAGTAAAATTATGGTTGCAGAATGTCCTATCTAGCAACAGGATGAAAAACGGATTGTAGTAGGCAGAGTCCCAGCATCTATCTCCCTTGTCTGTTTGTCACTGGAGTCAGACATAAGGCATCTCTCAAACTGCCCTTGCAAGTTTGATGTGTGGTTATCCACTCTAGGCAAGCTGAACTAGGAGGATTTTCACAAATAAGCTGTTGAATAGAAAAGGAGAAGAATTTGTTTTGAAAATTCAAAGTCACATTGTTAAGTTTTTACCTCATGAGCAAATAGCATACAGTGCATTTATAGTTACTTGTAAACTTTTGGTTGTTGCCTGTCTTTCAAAGAGGTATATTCTATTTAATAAAGATGTCCATTATGTCCATGAGCCAAATGACTGTTCTAAATACACTTAATATCCTTTACTATTTACACTTTCATCAAGATCGTCTTTGTCCTTTTTAATACTGACATCTCCGTCCATTGCCTTTCTTTTAGAACAAAATGTGCATGTCTTCAGCTGACAGCAAGGAATGCTAAGACTTGTCCCTTGTCAAGTAATATAATAACCACTGGATACAAATATAAAAGACTCCAGAGACAAATACCTACTGGGTAAGATACCTTGAGGATTTGTTGCAGGGTGTTTGTATCTTTGAAGGTGGATACTCACAATGTCTAATACCAAAACTCTAAATTACTAAGGAATTAAAAAAAGAAAACTGTATTTTTCTTGGAAATGAAAGTTTGGACCACACAGAGTGCACTGGAAGACTCATCTGTTTTGAGTCTGGCTCTTGACCCTCTAAGACTAGCCTACCCTAGGCAGCCATTTCCCCATTAAGAAAAAAACTGTGCAAAGTCCATCTGAAAAATGGGAGTTTTCAACTTTTCAAGGTTGTTATTAACAAATAATAACCCTTTTAAAAACAAACTTTTCTTTCCTAGGTATTATTATTATTTTAAAAGAGCTAACATTTTCTATGTGCCAGGTGCTGTCTCAAGCTCTTTGTAAATATTGACTTATTTAATCTTTACAGAACAACCCTCAGAGGGACATACTACAATATAATCCCCATTTTGAAAATAGGAAATTGAAGCACAGAATGGTTAAGTAACTTGTCCAACGTCATACAACTACAAATGCTGCAGCTATGATGGTAATCCAGGCAGTCTGGCTCTAGGAACCTTCACACTTAGTCTGTTCCCCTTAGTGACTCTCAGTGCCAGTGAAGTAGCAACATAAATTGTTTCTTGCTTTAATTGGAGCTCTGATTGTTTTTTTCTTTTGCATATTTGATTGACAGCATTTATGAATGCAGCCTGTTGTGCAAGTGTAATCGACAGATATGTCAGAACCGAGTTGTCCAGCATGGTCCACAAGTGAGGCTGCAGGTGTTCAAAACTGAGAAGAAGGGGTGGGGGGTACGCTGCCTGGATGACATTGACAGGGGGACATTTATTTGCATTTACTCAGGTAAGGCAAAGATTCCTTTTTAAATTATTCTGTAGCAGGGTCTACATTTCTCAATCTCCATTTTACTAGTCAGGGCCGTTGAGATCTTATAGCAAGGACAAGAACAACAGGATCTAGGACATCAGAGGAAGAAAAGTGACTGAGAACTTGAGCACTGAAGGGATCAGTACCTTTAGGAAGTACCAGAGGTACAGAAAAGAATGACTTAGAGATAAAACTGGGTTATTGAATGAGAGCCTGTTAAGTACAAGACATATCTTTTTATCTCCTGGCTACAGCTGCTTTGGGGTAATGGAGGACTATCTAAATAAGCAAACAAAATAACTGACTTGCCAAGGTAAAAATGACCAACAATCAGACTAACTAGTTGAATGTTATGAGCTATTGTTAGAATTTAACAAGATAATTTTGTTATAAATATCTGAATATGGTAACTGAGGTAGTGACAGGAGGCAATACACTTCATTTCAGGGACACAAGAGTCACAGCTCTGGAGCCAAGCTTCCCAACCAGTGGGTTAAGTTGTGTGGTTACTGATGCTTTGGGGCCACAACCCCCAGGCTAGACATGTTGTCTCCAGCAGTCCCATCCATTCATCCTAGACTGCCATACAAAAAATGTTCATTTTTGGTGTCTGCCATGATGTAGGACAAGATGGGAAACAAAGCTCTAAAGCCAATCAAAAAGAAATATGATATACTGAGTCTGGGCAGCTAGAACTTAGGGACCAGAGCAGTCCTCATCTGAAATTTTAGGCCCTCTAGTGAGGGCAAGAAGCCGCCCAGAAGGTTATCAGAATTCAAAGTAGTAACACTTGGCTTCCTACCACATGACATTGATCTCTGTTGTTAGGTGCTGACAAGTTGATTCCAACTCATAGTGACCCTGTGTGACAGAGTAGAACTGCTCCATAAAGTTCTCCTGGCTGTGAGCTTTACAGGAGCAGATTGCCAGGCCTTTCTTCTTCAGAGGGGCTAGGTGGATTCAAACCACCAGTCTTTTCATTGGCAGCTAAGACGTAACCATTTGTGCCATCAAAAAACCAAACCCACGGTCGTCGAGTCAGATCTGACTCAGCGACCCCTGCTTGGGTTTCCGAGGTGATATCACTGTGGAAGTAGATTGCCCAGTCTTCCTTCCAAGGAGTGGCTGGTGCGTTTGAACTGCTAGCCTTCTGGTTAGCAATCGGATGCTTTAAGCACTATGCCATAAGGGGTCCTTAATAGTACTTACAGACACATAACACTACACAGCCTGCCTAGATATTCATCTCTCATAATTCCCAAAATAACTTCTGGATGAAAGTCAGCTGCCTGTACAATGCCAAAAGCTGTCCAGGAAGCTTTATCACTGGCTTTATCTGCATTGCTAAAAAATGCACCTAACATGATCTAATTTTATGTGAAAATATCCAGCTGTTAATTTTGACTTGGTGTTTTGGTTACTTGGTGTCGCTCTGACAGGAATATACCACAGATGGCATGGCTTTAACAAACAGGAATTTATTCTCTTACAGTTTTGGAGGCTAGAAGTCAGTTCAAAGTGCTAGGCTCTAGGGGCTGGGTGAAAGCCCCTCGACCTTGGGCTTCAGCTCTGCCTCTTATTCCTGGCCCACTGAAGCTAGAGCCTTTTTTTCATTCAGGCAGCTGCTGAGGCTGACAAACCCAAGGTTGACAAGTAAAAAGGCACAGTCCCAATGTTACCAAACAACACAGCAAGCCACTAATTAAAGTCCAGAAGAAGTCCCAAGATTGGCAGGGTGTGGCGGGCTGCTAAACAGTGACTTGGCTACATACAGGGTTCAAGCATGCCAAAAGGCTAGAGACCGTCTTCAAAGGTGCTTCCTATATAGTGGAAGCAGCCCACATCCCTAAAGTAGCTACTCAGGTGCTCCATTAGATTCTGCCATGGAGTTAATTACCGGTCTCACAATGGGGAATAACTACATCCAGCTGCCCAGCCAAGTTGATATACAAACTTAACTACCACTCGGTAACTGTAATTTTGAGTCCCGTGGAAGAAAATGCATAAACTTTAGACAAAGATTTTAATGTTACTCTAGGACTTATCTATGAGAGCAACAGGCATGTATCACCACAAATTTAATTTGATTTCTTTATAAAGAAAATAGAGGTTTAATTATCGATAAGTATTTTTAACTAGACACAAAAGCTGCATTTTTAAGACTAAAGTTCAGCCCTTTAATTTTCTAAAATGTTTTCTGATCCATATTTTTGTTGTATAGTACTGTAGATAAATCTCTTTTGTCCAGTACCAAAATAGACAAATTTCCATTACATGCCCTGGGTTTTTCATATACCAGAAAACATGAAGTAGATCCTCATTTGTCACTGGTTTATTATTTCTTGCCACAGTTTTCTAGGATGAATTAATATGTCTGCATTCATTCTAGAAATAAGATACATAGCACAGGGTTCTGTCATTATAGAGCAGAAATAGAGATAGATGTCCATTTGCTGCTTATGATAATTATATTTATTCAAACTCTCACTTTTTTCTTTTAGGTAGATTACTAAGCAGAGCCAACACTGAAAAATCTGATGTTATTGATGAAAATGGGAAAAAAGGAGATACTATGAAAAATACATTTTCAAAAAAGAGGAAAATGGAAGTTGCATGTTCAGATTGTGAGGTTGAAGTTATCCCATTAGAATTGGAAACACATCCTAGCAGGGATGAAACTGAGGAATGTCCACCTAAGTTTAATAATGAATCCAAAGAGCCTATTATGTAAGAACTCAGTAAAGGTTGATCTTAATTATTATTGATCAAGAGTGTTTCTCTCTCCTTCTTTATTTCTTCCCACCCCCACCTTCACACACCTATATATCATCTTGCTTCAAAACTGTAAGTTTAACACTGAGAAATGTGAAATGCTTACATTTAAAAATCTAGCCATCATAGTTTATTTCCTTGTGTTTCATTCCTGGAGTTTTATCTTGCATGACTTTAATCAGGTTCTCTGTGGATGTTTGTAATTTTTGCTGTTGTTTATATTTTCTGTCACCATTTCACTTAAAAAGCTTTCATAGGTTTCCTTAATCTTGTTCCATACTTTAAAAAGAATTGACTTTAAAATATGATTATATTGCTCTAGTGAGAGATGGCATAAATGTTGTTTACTTAGATTCATTCCTAATAATAATAGATACTTATATAACAGTGTTCTCTATATTTTGATGTCCAATAAGAGAATTTTTAGTGATATACAGAATAACATTATTTTTTCCTTTGTAGGGAAATGAAGTATAACAATATTTCAAGAATTCAGTATCATTCAGTCATTAGAAGTCCTAAAACCAAGACAGCCATTTTTCAACACGATGGGGAAAAGATGGTAAAAACCACAAGAACAGATTGGGCCCTCTGAGAATATTAACTACTATCTGACCTTTTCTACCTAGTTCAAATTATTTGTGCTATTTAATAATGCATAGTATCTCTTTCACTTCCCTGGAAATGGCAAGCTGTTGAAATATTGGGACTGTATTTTTTTTATTTACTTCTTATCCCCCATGGCAGTTGGCATGTTCTCAACTTAGACATCTAAGGAGTATGTTAGTCATGATTTGGTAGTGTGCTCCACTGATACTGCGAGGCATCAGTTCTGAGAACTTATGGGAGATGTTCAGGAGTTAAAAGTGATGAAGGAAAAGGGATGTAGTTATCTACGTTAAGGAGAATAGAATTTTGAGATACAGAAAAAAGAAAGATGTAGCCTAACGAAGAATCATCCAGGAAGTGATATTTTACATGATACACTTATTCTAAACTAAGAAAGCTAGTCAGAGACTTAAACTTAGAAGAGAAGGATATCGGAAAAAGAACAGAGGCAGAAATAATGGTGATTCACCACAAGGCTGCTTGATGAAAAATAGAAACTCTGCTCTCGGTATTGTGCACATGTCCACCCCCACTAGTAATGGTATGGGAGGTGCTTCCTCAGTATCAGGTAATGGTGAAGATTTTGAGTCATAGGGTCACAGAGATCTGGGTTTGACCTTCAGTTGTTCTTATGATTTGGGTAATATCTCTGTGCCTGTTTTTCTTTAACTCTAAAATAAGCATAATAGTCTCTATCTCAGACTTAGGATTAAATGAAATAAACATCATAAAGTCTGCTTAGCATAATGCTTGGCATCCCACTAAGCACTAATTATTGACCATTCGTACTGAACACATGAATAATAATAACGATCAGCATTTATTCAGCAGTTAGTTGGACGCCAGGCATCGTGGTAAGCACATACCCTTTACTAAAGTTATCATGACCATTTAAAGTGTCTATAACATAGGCAGCTTCTTTAACCTGTTAAGTAGAAACTAGCCCCAAAGTGTTTTCATCTTTGTACATCTTACAGTTCAAGCCAAATTTATAATCTGGTATCAGTGCTCTCAGTAAGCTCACCCATTTCCATGGAGTTGATTCTGACTCATAGCAGAGTAGAACTATCCCCGTAGGTTTCCAAGGCTGTAGTCTTTATGGAAGCAGACTTGGAGCAGCTGGTGGGTTCAAACCTCCAACCTTCCCATTAGTAGTCAACCATTTTAACCACTGTGCCACCAAGGGTCCTTACTTTCTCAGTACTGAGGATCATTAGAATTGAAGGATACAGGTACATTTTAATTCTGAACCTTTGTCTTCAGTCTTTATAGCTTTGCTTGATAGAACATAGGGGTATGGTACCAGCTTTGAGGCTTTTCAAAACAGTTTAGTATTTGCAGTCTATGAAGATGGAAACTTAATGAAAAAGGCCTAAATGCTAAATATTTTTCTTGACCTAGAAATTAAAGATATCTTTGTTTTCTTTTAAGGGATTTGCTTCCTCAGAGTCTGTCAACTCAGAAGATGATAATGGGTGTGAACCAACCCTAGTACATCTGAACTCTAAAGGCAAGGAAACAAAAAGTAGGCTTGCTGTTTCACTCTGTGATTGCCTGCCTCTTTGTTCTGCCTTTTTATTCCTCTGTTGCTCCCTACTTATAGCTTATTTTCCCAGATTCTATAACAAACATGCTACATTTGGCATGAAAGTTACAACTTGTTTACATCAGAGGTTGGTAAACCTAAGGTTTGCAGGCCAAATCCAACCAGCCACCTGTTTGTATGGCTCAAGGGCTAAATGGTTTTACATTTTTAAATGGTTGAAGAAAACCAGTATTTTGTGACACTTAAAAACTATGACATTTCAATAAAGATGCACTTACATATATATATACATACATATATATATATATACACACATATATATATATATACATATATATATATATAATTTACATATTGCCTATGACTGCTTTCAGGCTACAAAAGCAAACTTGAATAGTTGCAACAATAGTTTTTTTTGAACTAGAAAATACCATTGGATAAACACAACAATAATAATAACCATGTTGTTGTTGTTATTTGCCGTCGAGTCGGCCCCGACTCATAGCGACCCCTCCTTAGGTTTCTGAGGCAGTATCACTACAGAAGTAGGATTGCCCAACCTTCCTTCCGAGGAGTGGCTGGTGGGTTTGAACCGCCAGCCTTCTGGTGAGCAGTCAAGTGCCTTAGGCACTATGCTACCAGAGCTCCTAATAATAACCATAGGTAATATTTATCAGTGGATGCAAAAATTAATAAGCAAAAGTATGATGAGAAAGAGAATATTTGCCCAGTCTCAAAGTATCACCTTATGAGAAACTAATCACAAAGGGCAAACTAGTTACTTTCACAATAGGAAGGAAGGGAATAAAATATGTTACATTTGAAAATAAAGTAATAGTTTAAATGAAGTACCGGATGACTGTATTTAGCTGTTTGCAAAATAACATCAATAAAAACATGAAAAAATATAAAAGCACATTTGCCTAAGGCTATCTCCTATAGCCTTATTTGTGCTAGCCAAAGATTTATAAGAAAGATAAAATTTAGCTTGGATTGAGAAAGTAACAAGCACAGTCCACACTTACAATGAAACAGTCATTCCTCCAAAGGCAAATGCTTCCTTCAGAGAAAAAGTTTGCCAACTTCTGTTCTAGATGCCAACAGTGAGCTGGTACATGGGAAGATGAGATAGGTTAGACAACTCTTGATTCTGCAGAGTCCATAGGTGTTACCTATGACTTTAGAACCATTGTCCAAAAAAGTCAGTTGCTAACTCTTTATGTTGGACTTCTTTAAAAATGAAGACCGTTCACTCTCCTGCTCCTGCGGTTGTCTCCCCATCACTGCTGAGAGGATGCTCAGCGTGACTCTAGCGAAGAGTTGAAATGCTGCTGCCCTCAGTGCTTCTCTTTCAGAGTTACCAGTCCCTGCTGTCATATCAGTTGCACAGTTAATACTACAGCGGAGCAAACTTGGTTTTTGGTACTTCTGAATTTCGGTACATTCCTGAGCAGGGAGAGTGACACGGCTGAGAGAGGTCCATTTTGAGGAACTGACCAGCCTTTGCTTTCTTTTCTCTCTTTGAGCAGTCTTGCATCTGTACCTTCAGCTCCCTACCTGATATTAAAGAGTGGGGATTGGGGAAAATAGATAGAAGGGGGTCTATCAAGAAAGCACATTTTTTGTATAAGCCTTTATTAAAATTATTTAGCCATTTAATGCATGTGAGCCATAATGAGTACTATTGTTTTTGGTTCTTTTGCCATTTTCGTTAGTTGCTGCAGTGTATATAGCTGTTGTTGTGTGCCATCGAGTCGGATCCGACTCATAGCGACCCCTCCTTGGGTTTCTGAGGCAGTATCACTACGGAAGTAGATTGCCATAGCAGGCCCTCCAAGTGTCATAATTATATATTCTTATGGCTCAGAAGTAGCCCATGATTTACTCTATTACTACATTTAGGAGGAGCAACCAGCAACTCTAATGATTAAATCATGACCATTGATTTTAGAGAAATACAGTTTCTTTGTGCTGTTTAGTTAGTTGGCATATGGTGGCTTTTGGTAAATAAATGATTTTATTTATTGCATGTGCTATGTATCCATACTTATGTTGTTGTTGTTGTTGTTATATGCCATCGAGTCAGCCCCAACTCATAGCGACCCCTCCTTGGGTTTCCAAGGCAGTATCACTACGGAAGTAGGATTGCCCAACCTTCCTTCCGAGGAGTGGCTGGTGGGTCTCAAAAATCATTTCCCTTATTGAGTATGAAAAGTGATTATGCCATGCTTCTATTTCTAAAGTATTATTAATTATAAAAATGTAATTAATTGTCTGATTATCTAGCAAAAACACCAAACGCTAATGTGTACAAAACCCACAGTAATTCAGTTGTTGCTCTTGGGACTCTGACAACAGTGGAGGGTGGCACTGAGAGGGTTTTCTCAGGCCTCTCAGACAGATCTTACAGGCCTAGAGTACCTCCCTACGCACCTACTTCTGTTACAGTTGTTTAGAATATACTTAAATGTAGATTCCAAAATTGATGAGAAAGGAAAGCTGTGTGTAGGGAGTACAGGTTAAATAAATTCATAAAAAGGCATTATGTAGTAGAAAGAAGGCCAGCTTTGGAGCCCAACATTTCTGGGTTTGTTGCTACAGTTCTCATTATGTCAGGCAACCTCTTAACCACTCAGAGGCTCCAGGTTTTCATTTGTAAAATTAGAGTGATACTGCCTACCCTAACACATTGTAAGGATTAGCAATAATGAATGCAGCTAGCATTTAATTAGTGCTGTTAATCTCAGTGCTTTTGCTCAATGAAGTGTATTTCCTGACATTTCCCTCCAAAATTTTTGTTAGAGGACTCAAGCTCAGACCAAGGTGAAAATTCTGAAGACAGTCTGCTGATCGAATCAGATGTGATAGATATAACTAAATGTAAAGAAACGCCACCCAAGGGAAGGTGTAACCAAGCAACTGCATTGGATAATCAGGGGATAAAAAAGGAATTTGAGGTTCAAATACAAGTGCCCCAAGAGGAAAAATCTCCAGCATCTCAAAATCAGCAGGTCTTTTGTGGTGAAGAGTTGCCAAGGGAAACCAAATACACTTCATCTGATGATCTAAGGAAGTTCAATAACGGGAATGTATTTTTACTGGATGCCACAAAAGAAGGAAATGTGGGCCGCTTCCTTAATGTGAGTATATGGGCTGAGATTCATATTTTTAAATAACTTTTTTTCTATGCTTCTGAGCAAAATCCTGAGGGAAATATGATGAACAGACTCTAGAGCCAGACCTCCTGGATTAGAATTCCATTTTCTCCTCTGATTAGCTGTATGGCCTTGGGCATGTTACTGAACTTCTCTATGCCTTAGTTGCCCTACAAAATATAGAAATAATAATAGTAACTTTCTTGTAGGGATTCAATGAATTAATATATGTAAAGTGCTGATAACAGTGCCTAGTACATAGTAATAGGCATTTACCTTAATGCTAACAATTTTTTAAAAAACTAAATTATGTGTAAGAAAGGAATTATTTCAGTTTATTGAAAGGTTTTCACAATTTGTTACTTCCCAAATAATCCATCCCAGTGGGACACAGAATAAGTTGTTCTTTTTTGAGTTTTATATAATACTGAATAGGTCATATTCAGAAATGCCTTTGTTTAAAAATAACAATTGAATTTAATTACTTTAAGTTTTGAATGATTAGTTTTATGTAGAAAACAAATACATTTGTCAGAATATTGTTTTTTACTATCTTCTTCCTTTTTTTATTCCCAAATCATAGCCATTTTCTATTTGTATATATATTTGGGGTATATGTAATAAATTTTTTGTTGTTGTTCATTTCTAGAGGGAAATATTTATGATTTCTCTGATTTTAAGGTTAATTTTACCATATTCATGATAAGAAACATCATTTGTATTGTGTGGGGAAGAGTTGCCACATGGCAACTCCTTATTCCATCCTACCTCTTACCATCATTCTTGGATATCTAGGAATGCATGGTCCCAGAATCCACCAGGAGAAAACATCTCCTTCAGCCTGTGGTCCCAGTGTTTATATGTTCTCTTCTGTCTTGCTTATTTGAACCACGTGTGTGAGAGCCAGGCCACCACTTCTTCATGCTCCGTACTATCCGGGCTCCACACCCTTGAGAATGAAAAGTGAGGACAAGCGCTTTGACCCCCTTCATATATCCTTTGGAAGGCTCCTCTCTGTAGCACATTGTCCCCCAGATATGGCCTTACTTTTCTCTCTCTGATCCCATCAGAGCTCTTCTTCCTCCTTGTGGGGTGGCCTTGACTTTTTCCTTAAAGTAGAAGTAAAGGGGGGGGGGGGAACAACAGAATTCCATGTGCTAGTTTAGGATTACATTCTACTGCAAGTAACAGAAAACTCAAAATAAAAATATCATAAACAAATTGGCCTCCACCTTGCAAACAGTCTTTTTTCACCTAATTCTTTTGCTGTGCTCTGTCACTAATGAAAGGAAACCCCACTTGAGTTATAAAGGAGACAGTGAAGAAACACTTGAGGCTCCTGCTGTATGTTTTTCTTTTTGTTGTTGTTGAGGAAGCACTTCAGGCTTCTGCTGTTCCGTTTTTCTTTTTGTTGTTGTTGTTACTAAATAACTTGAATATTGTTTGTTGTGTTGTAAGACATTGTAGAGTTTATCTCAAACTGTTAACAATGATAATATACAACTATGAATGGACACTGATACATAATATGGAGCCGTTTTGTTTCACCTATAATAGATGTTTATAAGTAAGTTGGGACAGTTGGTCTTTCTGTTTCCTTTTTCTTTTTATTATTATTATTTTTTTTTGCTTGCACAGGTTGCATTACGACAAATTGAGATTGTATAAACCTGCTCAAAAGCTGCAAGATGCCAAAATCTTGTAGATGTCAAATAAAAAGTTATTTTACTGGGGTAAAAAAAACAGCTTAAACAAGAAAAAGGAAGTAGAGGAAGGGAAGCACGTGTGGCACGTAATTCTTACAGGCATTTACTTCAGAGTGAGCTTAGCACATCTCTTTAAGATATGACCGTTTTGCAGTTTATGTGCTGAGTGATCATTTTACATGAATTACATGTATTGAGTTGCCAGTAGAAGAGAAGTCAGAAAATCTTTAAAACCAAAGCAAATTTTGTTTTCTAGATGAATCTGTTTATTTGGCATTTTTCTTTTTCTCTTTCCTAGTTAGGATATTTGATAATAATGAATAGAATCCTCCACTCCCTGCCCACATCCTCCATAGATTTGCTGTTCAGGACAAAGGACCATTGTGGTTTTGTTCTGCATCTGTTGTGTTGATGGTGCTGCACAAGGAGAATGTACAGCTGGTTTCAAGTCTCCCAATCCAGAGTCACCTGGGCCCCTCCCATGTTTGTGGAGAAAAAACTGTGCTTTGCTTGCTTGCTTGCTTTTTCTTTTTTTTTTTTTTTTAATTTTTATGCATAGATAATATAGTCACATGGTTCAAAAATTAAAATGAAATAAAAAACTACATCTTGAGAAGTACTGGGCCTGCGTTTGTCTTACCTCAACTCCATCCTCTATAGGTACATAAACTTCTATAGCACATAAACTTCCTTGTGTATTTTTCCAGTATTTCTTGAAGCAAGTATAATTAAATATAAGTATGTGTTCTCCCTTTTTCACATAAGGTAGCTTGTTATAGTCACTGATCTATACCTTGCTTCTTAAAATAACAGTATATCCTGGAGATATTTTGTATCATTACACAGAGAGAGCTCCTCATTCCTTTTGTTTGTATATTTTTTGGTTGTAGGTGCATGAATTTCACTGTATGGATATACCAAATTTAACCAGTCCTCCTTATATGGACTTTGGACTTGTGTCTACACTTTCATTAATAGCACAATGCTCAATGAGTAATTTTGTACATAGATAATTTTATTCATGTTCAGATGTATCTGTAGGATCCATTCTCAGATGTGGGATTTCTAATCAAAGAATAAATGCATCTATTATAAAGATAACATATGGACCAATTGTCTTTTATAGGGGTTTGTACCATTTTGCATTTCTACTAGCAGTATATAAGATTGCCAGAACAGGGCTTTTCTGAAAGGGTTCCAGCTTATTAAAAGAACTGGCATGAGCTACATTTTATATACTATTCAGAAAAAAAAAAGATTGATTAGAAACAGATTCGTATTCTAACGCTTCAGAGCACACAAGACATCAAACTTTATATTTAACCTGTGTGGTTATTTTTTTATTTTTTTAACAGCATAGCTGTTGCCCAAATCTCTTGGTACAGAATGTCTTTGTAGAAACACATGACAAGGATTTTCCATTGGTGGCCTTCTTCACCAACAGGTTTGAAATGTATTTTGCTTATATGATTGAAATTATGACTTTAAAAATAACAATAGCAAGTTGTTTTTCCATAATGTTCTGTCTGTTGTTGTTGTTGTTGTTATGTGCCATGGAGTCAGAGCTGACTTATAGCGACCCCTCCTTGGTTTTCGTGGCAGTATCACTACGGAAGTAGACTGCCCAACCTTCCTTCCGAGAAAAAGGAGATGTGTTCTATAACCCTAGAATTTCTGTTGTTCTAGAGTATTTAGTTATCCCAAACTGTTCTTGGTCAAAATTTGAATAGCTGAAATTTTGTATCTTATTTCCACTTACAGTGGATAAGGACTTTTAAGTCAAGATTATCTTCCTGACTACTTTCACACTAAAAGTCTTAACATATTACTCAATTCCAGTGTTTTCAAAACACTCTTCTTCTGCATGGATAATGATGAGTTCCTTCTTAGGAAATTATGTATTAGTTTCCTAGTGCTACCTTAACACAAATACCACAAAGCAGGTGGCTTTTATTTTTTAAAGAGACAACGCAGAGGTGATTTAAGTTGAGGACCCACTGTACTCTAGTACTTGGAAGGAAAACCGGGCAATCTACCTCTGTAGAGATACCGCCTCGGAAACCCAAGGAGGGGTCACTAGGAGTCGGGTCCGACTCCCTGGCAGTGAGTTTGGTTTTTTTTTTTTTTTTTTTTTGGTCCTTTAGTGTGGATTCAGGAGCTCTGGTAGCATAGTGCCTAAGGCACTTGACTGCTAACCAGAAGGCTGGTGGTTCAAACCCACCAGCCACTCCTCGGAAGGAAGGTTGGGCAATCCAACTTCCGTAGTGATACTGCCTCGGAAACCCAAGGAGGGGTCGCTATGAGTCGGAGCTGACTCGACGGCAAGTAACAACAACAACAGTGTGGATTCATCAACATATAAAAGAAACCCCTGTTTCCAAAGAGGCTCATGTCTACAGGTACTGGGGTTGACTTTCCACATTTCTTTTGGTAGAGAGGTACAATTCCAACCCATAACATTTAGGATTATAATAAATTTGAAATAAAACTCAAGTGATTATTTCTAATAAAAGATCTTTCCCACTCCTCAGAAGGAAGGTTGGGCAATCTACTTCCACAGTGATACTGCCTCGGAAACCCAAGGAGGGGTCGTTATGAGTCAGGTCCAACTCGATGGTAAATAACAACAACAACAATAGGTGTGGGAATAGTGGAAGTGGTGGAGAGAGACTAGATCTTATTTTTGAGAACAGTTAATGATAATGTAAACCTTGGTATAATCAAGTGTGGTTCATTTGGTAGTTATTCATTGTCATTTATGTTTTTTCATTTCTACTTTCTAGGTATGTGAAAGCAAGAACAGAACTAACCTGGGATTATGGTTATGAGGCTGGGAGTATGCCTGAGAAAGAAATCCTCTGCCAATGTGGAGCTAATAAGTGCAGAAAAAAAATATTATAAATATGTAGCTAATGCTTGTTCATGAAATTAATTCCTGGATCTGAAATTAGAGCCATGCAAAAGAATCCTCAGTTGGGAATTAACTTAGGTTTGGTCATTCAAGCTAATTCCTCTCAATTTAACCTCATCAGGTGGCTCATATTTTATTTCTAATTTTATTTGTGTGACTTAGAAATGCTTGGAACAAAATAAGGAAATTTTCATAATATAGGGAATTTCTTTATTCTTACTTTATTCAACTTTACACAAGAAGGGTAGAAGTGTATATTTGAAATTCACTGTATAATTTGTAACTTATTTGTAAACTGTATATGTTAAGATAAATGTCACAATAGAATTAAGCTATTTCTTATTGTCGCTTTGTGGTTATTATTTTTTAATTCATGCCTCAAACCAAATTCAGTGCCATCAAGTCAGTTCCAACACACTCAAGAACAGAGTAGACCAGCTTCATGGGGTTTCCAAGGCTGCAAATCTTAAGGAAGCAGATTGCCACATCTTTCTCCCACAGAGCAGCTGGTGGGTTTGAATCACCAGCCTTTGTGTTAGCAGCCAAGCACTTTAACCACTGTGCCACCAGGACTCCTTATTCATGCTCCAAAGAGCCATATTTCACCTCTTTACCTACAAATTAATTTTAATTAATTAATTAATTATAATTCCTAGCAAATTATTTACTGTCATGAAATCCATTTTATTATCATTAGGTAAACAATTAAGTCTTTATAATAATGTCCAATGCTAATTGAGTCTAATTTTTGTTGCTTCAGTATATGTTACTATCTTCATTGCTTTTTAACCTGTTTTCAGCCCTTTTTCATCTTCTTTTCCATTTAACTGTGTTTATGCATTTATTCCCAGCCTGAATCCTTCTTCTTTGATGTGTTTTAAACTGGAGCAGTATCTTTAAATATGACCTAGTCTTCTGTGACAGTTTTCACAAGGACCATTATGTGATGGCTGGTTTAAAAGTACACCTTATGAAGGTAACTGCATTAGAGAAATGGAAGATAAAGCAATGCCATGTATATACTGGAGAATGCCCTAAATTAACAAAACCTGCAATCCGTGTCTTAACTCTTAGCACTTACTGGCTGTGTAGCCTTGGGCAGAATCACTTAATATTTACAGGCCTCTCAAAATCAGGTTTGGATTTCTGTACAGAAAACATGGAAAGAGAATGTACTTTCCAACTTGTTTTATGACACAAGCATAACCTTGATAACAAACTTGACAGGGACAGTCTGAGAAAGGAAAACTATAAGCCAGTATTACTCCTCGAAATAGATCTAAGAATCCTAAAACAAATACAAACAGGTAGAATCCAGCAGTGTATTAAGAAGATACTTCTTAATACCAACTGAGGGTCATATCAGGAATACAAGATTAGTTTCACAGAAGAAAATCAATTAATGGAGATTTCAGGAGGCAAAATCAAGAGGGCAGCACTAGGTTTTGGGTCCATATCCACTCAGAAAGAGCAACTAGGATAGCACAAGAAGAAAACCCACTAACGGCATCTTCAATAAAGCTAGTGCAGAATAGCTCCAAAACCCAGAATGTGGTTGGGGCCAAATCACCACCAACAGCAGGATTCACCCAAGCTTGTGCATATAGCAGCTGTGTAGGGACAGCAGCAGGAAGAAGGGAATTTTCAGGGTCCTAAGAACTCTAGGACACAGTATTACGACAGGTGCTTACCTATGAGAGGCGAAAACCCCACTCAGAGTGGAGTGCCCAGCAAAAATATCTGAACCAGCAAAGCTGGGAGAAGGCTCTCCAGGTACCAGTTTTGGGTGAATACAATGAAATCCACAAGAACTCACTAAAGAGCCATGAGAAGATCAGGCTTACTAGGGTGTCTAAGAAATACCTTCCAATCTAGGACAGAGACTTACCTAAAGACGATCTGTGTCATTTTCATAACACAGGAGGGACCCTATAGACCATGAAGCTAGGAAAGCTGCCCTGGCTCGCTTTCCCCCTACATGAGGACCTACTCCTTAAAGGCCATTTTATTTAAACACAACAACAACAACAAAAATAGTGCTCAAAACAACCTACAAATATACTAGAAAAGAAGAAAATGAAAAAAAAATGTGCTACCGAGAAAATCATGAAGGCATATTAGAAAACTATATCCACAAAGCAGAAAATCTATTTTTATTTAAAAAAAAAATAGTAATACAGCTACCGAAGCCATGAAAGAGCAGCCCAAACCATAAGTGAGTATAAAGCCACAATTGGATGGCATCACAAGCCCATGCAGTAGGCAGAGTTTTCAGTAGTAAAGTTGAACTGTGCATACTCCCTAATCCAGCAATTCTCCTAGATGGAAACTTTGGAAAAACTCTTTAACTTTATATCTGAAGATGTGTTACAATATTTAAATACTGATAATTAAAAAACTGGAAATACCATTAGAAACAAGGATGAATAGTGATCAACTCGAACAGCAATGAAAATGAATAAAATACATAACTGGAATGTTGAGTTTAAAACAATTTGCAGACAAATATATAAATTCCTCATTTAAAGTTCAAAAATTGTGTATAGTTTTATGATATAAAAGTGATAAGCTATACAAGTGCAACATTCGGGTGGTCATTGCCTCTAAGAGAAGGGCTACAGGGAAGCTTAAAGGTGATGGTGATGTTCTTACACCAGGGGATGGGTATATGAACTCTTGTTAGGTGTCCTTGAGTTGATTTTCAATTTGGCAACCACACATGACAGGGTTTTATAGGATATAATCTTTCTGGAAATAGATCATCTGGTCATTTTTCCCACAGAGCCACTGAGTGCATTTGAACCACCAACCTTTAGGTTACCAGCCAAGCACTTAACCATTACACCACCAGGGTTCCATGAACTACATATATATATATATATATTTGTTGTTGTTATATGCTGTCGAGTTGGCTCCGACTCATAGTGACCCCTTCTTGGGTTTCTGAGGCAGTATCACTATGGAAGTAGATTGCCAACCTTCCTTCTGAGGAGTGGCTGGTGGGTTTGAACCACCGGCCTTCTGGTTAGCGTTCAAGTGCCTTAGGGACTATGCTGCCAGAGTTCCGGTATATATATAAAATAGTCATTTTTATGACATATATATATATATATATATATATATATATATATAGTCAATAAACTATATAATAGTCATTTTTCTCTACTAAATATTTAATAGGGAGTTTGGGTGGTGTACTGCCTAAGACGCTTGATTGCTAACCAGAAGGCTAGCAGTTCAAACCCACCAGCCACTCCTTGGAAGGAAGATTGGGCAGTCTACTTCTTTAGAGATACTGCCTTAGAAACCCAAGGATGGTTCACTATGAGTCGAATCAACTCGATGGCAGTGAATTTGGTTTTTTTGGTTTGTAAGTATTTAATAAACATTTGCAAATCATGTTAAAATGAACACTGACAACAGCCTTGAAGACAAAAGCCATAAGATAGGGATATGTAAGTACTAATTTCATGTGTATTATTCCCAAATACTTAATGCTAGTTAGAGAAGCTTTATCTCATACTATGAAACAATGTCCCATCAACCATTTGAGGGGAGGAAGAAAAAACTATTATGATGACATTTCTGGCAAACTCTTGAGATGAAAATTATTTCCACCAATTATTTTCACTACTTGAGTACAAACACAGAAGAAGAGGGAATAGAAACCTGGAGGAATTTGAATATTTTGTTTTAGGTAGAGTCAAGCTATAAGAAACAGAAACCTAATAACCAGTCACACTTGGCTTACTTTGGCCAGTGTCCTGGGCACAGAGTTGGTTTTGACTCATACCAACTGTTTCGGTTCTCCAGGGCTGCTCTAACACAAAATACCACAAATGGATGGGTTTTTTGAACAGGGATTTTATTCTCTTACAATTTAGGAGGCTAAAAGTCCGAGTTCTTAGTTCCAGTTCTAGGGGCTGGTTGCAAGCCCCTCGACCTTGGGCTTCAGCTCTGCCTCTTGCTCCTGGCCCGCTGAAGCTGGAGCCTTCTCTTAACTCAGCTGCTGGCTACTGAGACTGATGAACCTAAGGTCATCAAGTAAAATGGCACAGTCCAAAAATTATCAAGCAACAGGGCAGGCCACTAGTTCAAGTCCAGAAACAGTCCCATGATGAGCAGACAACGTGGCAGGCCACTGAGATGAAGACTTGGCCAAATGCAGGATCCAGATGTGCCAAAAAGCTAGATAATTTTCTCACAGCTGCTTATATACTGGAAGTGGACTACATCCCTAAGGCAGCTATTCATCTGCTCACAGAAGATTCCACCCTGGCATTGATTACCAGTCTCATCATGGGAAATAACTACCTCTGGCTGCCCAGCCACTCAAAACCAGGCCCAGCCAAGCTGACACATAACTACCACACCAACCATATGTACTACAGAAAGAAGCACTGGTTAGTCCTGGGCCATCCTCAAAATTCTTTTTATGTTTGAGCCTACTGTTGGCAACCACTGTGTCAATCCATCTTATTGAGGGTCTTCCTCTTTTTTGCTGACCCTCTGTTTTACCCAGCATGATGTCCTTCTCCAGTGACTGGTCCCTCCTGATAACATGTCCAAAGTACATGAGACAAAGTATCATCATCTTTGGGTAAAAGCATTCTGGCTGTACCTCTTCCAAGATAGATTTGTTGGTTCTTCTGGCAGTCCATGGTACACAATATTCTTTGCCAACAAATTCAAAGCCATCAATAATTCTTACTAATTGTCTTCCTTATTCAATCCCCAATCTTCACATGCATGTGTTGTTATGTACCATCAAGTCATCTTCAACTCGGCCAGCTTATATACAACAGAATGAAACATTACCTGGTCCTGTGCCAGCCTCACGATCCCTACCATACCTGAGCCTGTCACTGCAGCCACTGTGTCAATCCATCTAGTTGAGGGCCTCCCCCACTTTAACTGACCCTCCACTTTACCAGGCATGACGTCCTGCTCCAAAGAATGGTCCCTTCTGACAACATGACTAAAGTAGGTA